CGGGTCCGGCACCTCCTTGGAGCCTTTAAAAGCGTTCACGAGGAATGCGGGTCCTCGGCCCGGGAGCTGACGGTACCAGTAAATGATCTCGCTGGACTGTATGCTGGGGTGTGAGCAGGTGATGTTGATGCTGATGCCCTCTCTGGTCTCTGCCGCCGGCTCCTGTTGCACCTGGGCTCTGCTCACAGCCACTGCCGAGAAGAAAAGAAGACCCAACTCAGAAAATTCCATTGCTCCGACAGAAAATTTCACACGTGGTCCGACACATTAGGAAAAGCAACTCAGAGGAAAAGGCCATGCAGAAGGCAGCGGTGTGGGAAGGGAATTCTAAAAGAACGCATGGTGCAGGGAGAAAGGAAAGACGGGTGGACAGAGCTCTCTGGAGGCAGCCGGGCTGAATGCAGGAGAGAGGAAGGGGTGTCACAAGGCTGGAAAGAACTCGGACGGCCAAAGGCGAGCGCGATCCCGTCCCCCCGCAGCCCCGCAGTCCGGCCCCGCCGGCGGCAGCCCCGCGCACCCAGGAGCACCGCGGTCAGCCCCGCCAGCCCCGCGGCCCGGCACTGCCGCATCTCGCCGCTCCGCCACCAGCGCCGCGCTGCCCCCGCCAGCCCCGGCTCTGCTCCACCCGCGCCGCCTCCTCCCCGCAATCGCCGCCGCCGCCAGCTCCGCCCCGGGCTGCTCCGAACCGCCTCGCTGTCTTTCCGGTGTGTCTTAATGGCATCTAAAGAAATTTGCTCCAAAATACATCGTTGTGGAAGGTGTTATTGGAGCACAGTTGGTCCGTAGTTCCCTGAGTTCCCTTTCTCAGTCCTGCTAAATGTTTTTGATGCATGTTGTTCGTTCCTAGCTGTGACCACCATTCCTCAACTGTCATGGTCCTCGAGAGGTGACAGAAAGCTGCATCAGAACGACATCACTCAATCAAACACCCTTGGATGCATCCCAGATCATTCAAGGGCACAAGTATGTCCAAGTGGATTAAGTTCTCTGGTAGGTTTTCTTCCTGTGTAGGGAGTGCTTCTTCACTGCCATGAATTCTGTGAAAGAAGCTCAGGGGCCTTGTAGGCCTGTCTGAAAGAATTATCATGAGAATGGGTGACAAAAGAAGCAATCATTATATTACACATTCACTTCTCACTATTTCTGCCATCCCCTGGTCCAATGGAAATATAATCACCTTAGTTTCGTTTTTGCTGCCACAGTAGGGTTAAGGAAGCTGTCTGGAAACAGAATTCTGTGGAAGAGTTGTAAGGGATGGTATAGTGATAGGCAGACAAATCTTCGAGTCCTTCTACAGCGTTGGAGTTGCTATTCCTTGCCAAGGAAATCAAACAGCTGAGACTTCAGAGAATCCACTGCCAAAGGAAGGATCTGAGTGTGCTGGATGACACCAGGCTCAAGAAGAACCAACACTGTGCCCTGTCAGGAAGGAGATCCAACTGAATTTTGGAATGCATTACACACTCCTTAGACTACTGGTCAAAAATGGATGATACTCCCAGTACAGTTAGCCTTGGTGTGTCTTCACCTGGAATCTATTTGGCTGTTCTGGGCTCCACAAAGTAAGAAGGGTGTCCAAGGTGCTTTAAAGTGTCCAAAGGAAGTAGAGCTGATAGTGGGTCTGGAATGCATTGCCTGTGAGGAGAGCCTGAGGACACGTGGGTTGTCCAGTTTGGAGAACACAGAGCTTAGGGATGACATCACTGCTCTCTACAACTTCCCAAGGAGTGAAAGCAGAGAGGGAGGTGCCAATCTCTTCTCCCTAGTATCTCATGACAGGACATGTGGGAGAATGGCACAAAACTGCACCAGGAGGTGTTCAGGAACAATAGTAGTGATACTGTAAATTGTTCAGTCATGAAACATCCCAAGACTCAAACTGGAGTGTTAGAAAGCAGGCAGTCTTTATTTTCAATGCTGGATGCGTGGGGGATGAGCTCCACCTATCATGCGTATGTTGCACAAAAGATTCTCACCTTATATTCATTACGTATGCTACACATGCAAATGGTTTCATGTACAGTATGGAGATATTCCATACTTGCCCACAAAATCATTAGCACAGGGTACTGCCCTGTCCCAAAAAGTTCAGTCTTTCTGTGGTGGTAGTCCCACAGCCCTCTGGTGAAGTTGATGCTTTTCCTCCCTGCGTTCACTGTTTGAACCCCATATTCATCAATGCTCAGTTAGCTCATGGCCTCACTCACACAATACTTGCTCACAAAAAATGAGCTGATTCAAAGCAGAGCTTCCCTTGCCTCCTCGATACGACAGTTCAGTATATCACTATAATCTGGTGGGTACAAGAGCACAGATTCTTCCTGTTAACTAAACAAACTCCAGGGTATCCAGCAAGGAGCATTGGCAAGCAGAACAATATTGCCACAACTTGTATCACTAGGAAAAATATAGACATATGTGAAGGTGGTCAAACACTGGAACAAAATTTCAAGAGATCTGGATGATGCCCCATGCCTGTCAGTGTGGAGAGACATTTTGATAATGCTTTCATTAACATGCTTTTCCTTGTGGCTAGCACTAATGAGGTCAGACTGTTGAACCTGGGTGATATTTGCAGGTGCCTTCCAGTTCCTCTCCTCTCCATTAGCTCTGTTAGCAGGAAGACAGAGATTAACAGAATCTACTGTTATCCTGAAGTGCCCCTGATGTAACCAGAACACGTGCTGTTATGTGGGACACACAAGTCAGACACATACTCAACTCCTCATGCACACACGTGGAATCATGCAAACCTCTGTACCCACAGGCACTTGCATAAATCCAGCACACAGGCTCTAGTTGTTTCACACTGATGCCCTACTAAGCATGCTGATATAATTTGCTTTTGCTGGATTCTTCCAGCATGTGAACTGAGTGTTCTGCCCACACTGATGTGTGCTGCCTGGAAATGCTTGGGTTTTTCTTCCTACCACTCAACAGATGCCTTCCATGAGCAATGGGAGTGACATAAATCAGGATGTGACAAGTAGCAGCACAGGAAACCAACACACAGCCCATAACATTAGCTGGGATGTTTAGCATTCAAGAGATTCTTGTCACAAAATAATCACTGCTGCAAGGGATGGCTCTGGAAATGGGGCAGCTTGGGTCCACTATAAAAGCCAGCCCAGCTCCTTGCAACTCATCCACTTCTCTCGCCTCCTTCTTCTTGGGAGTCAGGTGAGTGTGAAGCCCCTTCTTGTTCTCTTCATTCTGCAGAGTTTTGAGCTCAGCAGAACTCTCAGTTGCTATTAGTTCTGTTCCGTGCCTGTTTTTGCTTGTCATGAGAGAGGGAAGTGAGGAAAATGATTGTCATGGGAGGAAGGTGGTACTGCAAGGAGGTAACTTTTGGGCCAGGATCTAGGCAGTACTTGGATAGGTCCCAGTGGCTTTCATTGGACTCTCTCACAATGAGACCAAGAATCCCTTGGACATCCCTGAACTGTTTTCAGTTCCCAGCACTGCATGTGCATTGATTTCCTCATAGTGTGATGCTAGGCTGCTCCTCACGCAGCCCCATGTTCTGCATCCTCCCTGCTCTCCCCAAACAGGTGCACCTCCATCCCTGAGACATGTCCTGCTCTGACCAGTGCCAGCCATGCCGGCCCTGCGGCCCGACCCCTCTGGCCAGCAGCTGCAATGAGCCCTGTGTCAGGCAGTGCCAGAACTCCACCATCGTCATCCAGCCCTCTCCCGTGGTGGTGACCCTGCCCGGACCCATCCTCAGCTCCTTCCCACAGAACACCGCCGTGGGCTCCTCCACCTCCGCTGCTGTTGGCCGCATCCTCAGCTCTGAGGGCGTGCCCATCACCTCGGGGGTCTTTGACCTCTCCTGCATTTCCAACCGCAGCTGTGGCAGAAGGTGCCCCCCCTGCTAAAGGTGCTGGATGCTGACCCAGGCAAGGACCTCCAGGAATGCTGAACATGGCAGTGGACAGAAAAAGAAATGTGCTGGTTTTGCCCTGCAAGACAGACATGTAGTGGCCAGTATGACATCTCTGTCAACATGGAGAGAGTCTACTGATATTCTTTGTTGCTCACTCTTTCTACGTAATAACATTTTTGCCTTTTCCCTTTAGAGATCTCAGTTAGTACCCCCCAAAAGGAGCCCTGAGTGACTCACCTCCATAAAAATCTGGATTGTGACGGCGAGCTCTGTGGCTATGCTGCCATGGGAAAGGGGAACAGATTCTGCTCCTGCTGCTCACCACACGCAGGGCCTCTGCTTGGGGTGACATCATTTCTCTCCTCAGACTCATTAAATACTTTCTGCATCCCTTATAGTTTCCTCCTATTGGTGCTTTTTTTCCCCATCTGTGTAGAGATGACCAAAGGAGAATGCGATGCCTTTGGTGAGAATAAGGTAGGGAGATTCCATCTCTCAGGTTATTGGAGGTCAGTGCACACTGCTGACATTCATTTGTTATGCACACTCTCTTGAAGGAGAGGAAGACATTCCTAGCTCTTCCTCTACCACCAGTGACCATCTGTCCCTGCCTTGATGTGTTTCTCCTTACACAGGTCTCCTTGAACATTAGGCATGTCATGTGAATGGAAATCCTGATAAATTAAATCTTCAGGAGAGGTTCTCTGTGCACTGGAAAGGCCCAGAGAAGACAGAAGTCCCACACACTCTGGGCAAATCTATTCCTCTGGCTTTGGGATGAGCAGTGCTGGGGAAGAAGACTCAGACAAAGGTGTTCTCAAAAGCCTTCAAGAGCTTGCAAGGCATAGTTTCCTTGGGGTTGGCCTTCTGTCTCTATTCCACTTTCACATGCCTTCCACTTGCCCATCACTGAGGGCACAGCTTCTCTGAGTGGTCCTTGCAGCCTTTCTGCAGAGTTTCTGGCCCTGCCGTAATTTTGCCAAGTTGCCTATGATTGAGGGCTTCCACAGGGCATTTTTACTACCAGCTACAGAAGGCCACATATTGGAGTCCCTCTGAACTCAACACTCCGATGGGTGCAGGAAAGCCCAGGACAGTGACTCATGCCCAGACACTCATGGCTTCTCAGTAGTGTCATGTCCTCCCCAGGCATGGGACTGTTCTCCTCAGGTTCATGAACTGAAAGGCCTTCAACGTGCCGCAACCCTACGCTTCTCCACTGAAGACTCCATGCGAGAGCAGGTATCTCCAACGCCACTGGGACATGGCAGTGAGAGTGTGACATATTTCTGCAACTCAATGGGATCATTGTACCTCCTCCAGTCACGCAGGGCATGCACAGCCCAAACACGGGACTCACACTGGGGTGTCTTCCCCAAGGCACCAAGATCCTTTCATATTCCCTGCACACCAGGGATGAAATAGCCCCTGTGCTCCATGCAGTGTCACTGCTCCCCCCACACACATGCAACTTCACACATCGGCACACCCTGCAGATCTGTTTTGTGAGTGCTTTACTTTCACACACATCCTGTGTGATGCCAGCAGCACAGCAATGCAAGGAGAATCATTTCTCCATGTTATCAGGATGGCATCACCTGTTCTCAGGCCAGTGTTTTTGTCAGGATATGCTGGATCAGATGGGATCACAAGACAAAGAGCATCAGAACCGAACCCAACAAA